AGATTAAACACCCCTCTGTTCACCTCTCTGCCTGCTCATGGTTTCCTGGGGAAGGGGAAGCAGCCAGCACTGAGGCTGCCAGGGGAAGGGTGAAGCCCCTGGGCAGGACGGGGTCTGTGGTGAGACAAGTGTCACCCCCATTCCCCTATTTTCTCTCCAAACCTCTTTCTCCAGGGCTGTTCTCAACCCCCAGAGAGGAGCCACAGGTCCTCCTGGCCCCCCAGCTCCCGCATGGGGCTGAAACCCCTTCTCCTCCCCGACCCCTTCACTCAGAGCTGGTCTCCTCCACGCTCGGGAGGGCAAGAGGGTCTGGTTTGAGCAGCAGCTCCTCCCAGGTACCCCAAGCTGGAGCAGCCAGTGAGCAACTCCACAGCCCCACCGTGAGCAGCTGTGTACAGCTGTGTCCATCACACTCCCCAGGCTCCTTGGCCAGAATTTACACGAGAGGAGAGGAACCGATCTGGTTCCTGAGGTGGTTTCCCCCGTAGGTACGAGGAGGCCGAGCCCCAGCAGGGAGCCGGGCAGGGAGGACAGGACCCGCTCCTGCCCGTGGGCATGCAGCAGCCTTGGGGTTGTGCAGGGTTTTGCAGAGCTGCCACCTCCCTCTTCACCACGACAAGGAGCACCCGTGGCTCCTCAGATGGACTAAGCAGAGCAGGAAGGGACAGGGGGACGTGGCCTTTCTTCATGTCCCAGGCAAGAAAAGAACCAGGATCACTCAGATTTCTTGTCCTAGTCCACCATGTCCCACTCCTAACGCTCCAAATACAACGTTGGAACTGGATGAGCTTTAAGGTTCCATCCAACCCAAACCATTCAATGATTCTATGAAATATCCAAGCGATAGGGAAACTGCTCCCCCAGGGCTGGACGTGAGGAGAAGAAGCACATGCCCAGCTTTACGAGCACAGTCGAGGCCAGACAAGTCCTTCCACTGACTCCCAACCCCAGGGCAGGAGATGTTCTCCTCACCAGAGCATCACCTCACGCAGAAGCTGCCCCTTTCACCTGCAATCCCTCCTCAAGCCGTTTGAAGAGCACAAGCCGCCCCGTGCCACCTTTTTTTAAGATTAATAATTTCTTTATTCATGTAAAACAAACGCAAGTATTTATATAAACACTGACATTACAAAGTACTGGAGCAGGTTAAAGGGCAGGAAGGAGGAAACAAAAAAAACCTCTACAGCTGCTTCTAATACTGTCCCACACAAGAACAAATGCTCTGTCCCTTGGATAATCACTTAAACCATAAACCACTTTCAAGTCACAAATAAGAGTCTTTTGAGATACGTTGCGCTCTGAGGATGAATTGAGGAAAGGGAGCGTAGAGTGTTTTTTGGCAGATCTCCTCATAAAGTCAAGATATTGCTGCACCGTTAATAAAAAATAGATATATGCTTCTCTGTAAAGCATTAAAAAAAATATCCCATGGATGGCATGGTGGAGGCTTCAGTGGAGAGGCAGAGATCCCAAAATGCACTGGTGTCTTCTCCCGGCTCTTCCCAGGCGTTATTTCTTTGTGGTTTTGCGAATCAGTGCCATTCTCTGTAACAAGAAAGAGAAAAAAACACCCAACGTGGGCAGCCGAGTGCCTCAGAGGTTATTGCAAAACAGCCCATAGCTGTGCAGGAACGAGGGATCTCGGGTTCTCTCAGGACACTGCCTGACTTGTTTCCACACAGGTCTTTCGAGTCTCTTTGAATCTTAATGGGGTCCCCAAACTGGAGTCAAAGGAACAGAAAGTGTCTGCACTCCTCTCCCTGACAGGCTGCCAAGGAAAAGGCTGAGGCTAGTGAGGGGCAATGGGATTAAACAGCACATGGGGTCCAGCCACACGGCGAGGCCTCCCCTCCCCGTGCTCAGCAGCAGCTTCGGGAGGGGAGATGACATACTTGTTTAAAAAGCGATGGTCCAATTCAGTCAAAGCAAAACGAAGGGGAAGAACCCAGAGCTGCTCAGCTCCAACCTGCAGCTGAATCCCCAGGCCAAGGGTGTGCTCTCTGCTACGTCACCCTGGGCTTTTTGGAGCCATTTAAATTCTTATGTCAGCGAACAGCCCAGAGTCCCGACCCTCACACCCAGACACAGGAGCTGTCATACGCTGCTCACAAAATCCTCGGGCTACAGACATCAACTGGCTCCAGGAACTTGAGCCACAGCCTGTCCAAGAGCCCTGAGCTTCACCTGGAACAGCCAGAAACCTGGAGCAGTTTGAGGGGCTACACCAGCACTCAACCCCCCACACCCAGGTCTGGATTTTCTAGCGAACCAGAGAAGTTCCCAGCGTGTTTTCAGTCCCTGCTGTGCAAAGATGGAGCACACAACCTGCGCGGAGGCAGCTGACAAGTTATTATCTGCAGCTCTCAGCTGCTTTTTTTATCCCTTCCAAGCTGGGCTTCCCTTCAGACAGTGAGTACCACGGCTTCTCCTTGGGCACAGCCAGCACTGCAGCACCAGAGGAGCCAGGGACATCTCAATCCTCTCTGCACAAACAGGCGAGGAGACGCTGGAAGTTATTTCAATTCTAAATCACTCAGAAGAGGCTACAAATTCATGTTGTTCCAGGAGGCCAAGACCACCCTGCCCATGTAAGGCTCCTACTGTGTGATTCTCTGTGTTCCTGAGGGTTCCTTACCTGTTTGTGAGCTTCTGTAGTGCAGGCTTTTTTGTAGGGTCTGATTTCTTCAGAACCAAAACCGGGGATCCACATGTTCCACTGACGCTCTGGAATAGAGAGCGCAGGTCAGGATGTGTCACCCCAACTGCCCACTGCAAGAGCAGCCCCCTCATCACAAACAGACCAGCAGCACATCCACCCTGCAGCTGGTGCTAGAGACGTGCTGGTGACCCACACTCACAGCCCAGAGACCAATAACC